ACAGATAGTACTTTGTGTTTTATATATAATTTTAGAAAAAAAACCTTTAAAGTGAATGCAGCATGACGACTTAAACTGTTATGATACAAGATGAGCTACAATATATACAATACAATATATCCTCGTGATTAAAATCTCCCATTATGTGCAGCTGTGATTCTGTTGTTACTTCTCACTCATGAAAATCCATTATTTCTTCCTCTGATGTTGAGTTAGTTGTATAGTACAGTTATACTCGGTTTAATATTTTTTTTATCTCAAGTTGCACCAAACTGATCTTGAGGAGCCTGTGTCTCGTGTATCTTATCATTAATGGACATACAATTCAATTTCAATACAGGGTATTTTATTCCTTGATAGAGGAACCAGGATCATAATGCTGTCACTAGTTACCCTTGTACAATAATACCAGAAGCATCTGGCAAGTGTCACACGTATATATAAATATTATAAAGGGGCTTACTAAAGCCTAAGGAAGGAAGGATATCCCTTCCACACATCATCAATATTATTTACATAATATCTGGCCAGTATGGGGTGGATCATCGTGTCTCTATAAGGGGGTCGTGGAGTGGTGGTCCAGCAGGTCTCATGGAAGCGTTGTATGTGGGGATATCTTAGGAGGTAGTGGACAAGGGTGTGGCTGTACTGGACATTGAGGTTTCCATTGTTTTGAGTCTCCATCTTTAAAAAGCATGGTCATACTTCTCATGCATGATCAATGTGTCTAATCAAACCCTTTTAGCCAATATGCCATAATTGATAATAATGAGGTCAATTTGATCAAGGACAGCTGACAGCCACGGGAGTTTTTAGGGCCAGGCAGTCACCCATCCAAGTACTAACCAGGCCCAACGTTGCTTAACCTCGCTGATCAGACATGAAGTGGTGTTTCCAACATGGTACTTCAATACTACATTAACTTCTCAAGGGTTACATCGTAGATTACCATTACATCCATTTCAGTAATGTTTCTTGGAAGTACAACTCTGAAAGATTAAAATATTACGAGTTTGAATTCAAATTACATTACCTGTATTATAGAGATTACGTATATACCTTTGGCTAATTTCAATGTACAGTATTTTTGTAGTTGACTATGAAGGATTGTCTTTCTGAAAGCATTATTGTTTTCCTGTGTCCCATATAGATAAATAAATTATTAATGTATTGGTAAATTATCTTTTATCAGGGGTCGATATCAGCTAGGACGTCGAAAGGAAAATGTCACACCAGGTGAACTGCGCCAAGAAATTAATGCATTCATCCCTTATGTCCGGTTCTTGACCATGACTACTGATGAGTTTGTTGAGCATGTATTACCTAGTGGGGTGTTCACCCCAGAGGAAATCTGTGCAATTGTGGCACAAATAAAGAATGTGAATGGGCCTCCTTTACCCAAATTTGTCTCCACAAGCAAGGATAGGAGAGGTGATCGGCTAAACCATTAAAAACATATTTTTTTTGTATTATTTCAGGTGCAAATATGACAAATAAGCTGCACAATTATATCCTGGAAGGACATACAGTATATATACTGTATATAAGTTTTGAAAATGGATACAGTAGTTGTTTTCTCAAAGTATGGATTGTTTTCTGTGTTATGGTATTCTTTGTTAGTGATCCAAGGTGCAGTTTTTATACTTGATTATATTGCAGTTGCTTTGTATGAAATAGTTGTATTATGTTATTATATTGTGTATACATTATATCAACTTTCAGCTTTAATAGAGTAAATATGTAATACTGTAACACTGTTACAGTACAGTGCCTGTGGACTAGGGAAGGCAATAGTTTAAAAAAATCCTTCCTATGATTTAATTCTTAAGTTTATCACAGCAAGTCCTTTGCCAAAAGTTTTAAGCATACCCTGTATTTTTTATTTATTTTTTCACAAATGAAATCTTAGTAGTCTACAATAACCCACATACTGTATGCTATAATTTTTTCTTAATATTTTGCATTTGAGCTAAATATGGACAATTGTTAAACCCTAACTCAACATTTTAGCTTTAATAGGTGACCCAAATCTTAAGCTCTTCTAGAGAAGAAGGAAAATGTGAAATGTATATGAAACTAATATTATCTGTTAGGTCTTTAAAACTTTCTGTATGGAAAGTCACTGAAGTAGTGTAACTTGTATGTTATTATTTTATAATTTTTTATATTTTTGTCTCGAAGCAAATATATTTACTATTTATATATACAGTAGTTTACCTTATCATCTTTGCCAGTTGTCAGCTCACTAGCAGATTGGGTGGTCAGTTCTCCGTTTCACTACAAGTTCTGGGTATGTACGAGTTGTGGAATGTACATATCTAAACATACAATAATAGTTGAGTCTGGATGTACAGGAGCACACACTTCATGCTGTGGCAGGATGTTCCAAGAGATCACTGAAGAGGTTAGGTTTTGACAGTTTTCTACTTTAGTTTCTCTGTGGGTTACCATTATAATAATTATAATAGCTGGCTTCTCGTTTCTCTAAGGCTCCATTTCTAAAGAATTTGTCGGGAATTTTGAAATAGCAATTTACCCATGCACATTGGTGGTAGGGCTGCAGATCTCATGGTAATACAGTACATAAAAGTAAAAATGAGACCCTACTGTGCCGCAGATAATAAAATGTCACTAAACTAAAAAAAATTTGAACAAACTACTTATGAAAGCTGTTTAGTTAAAATAATGGGAGTAGTTCTTGCACTAATTCAATGGCATATCCTGGTATAAGTGTTTCACAAAGAAATTGTAGACTTTAAACCGTGTTACTAACCATTTATGACGTCTGATGTAGGATGCCTCGATACATATTATAACCTAAACTGTTTATACTATTGTCATGCGGAGGCAGAGTTTGGTATTATAATGTTCGTAAACTAGGTGTTTTGATTATTTTCTATTCCAAGCAACAGTTATTTTGGCAAGTTTAGGAAGATTTTCTTGTATAAATTAATGTATTACCTGTGTAAGAATTTCCTGGAATGTATTGCATCATTTTTGTTATGATATACTTCTTATTGTAAGCCTAGATCATTCTAGAATTCTCTAGGCATGTCTCAGCCGGCCTCCTGCGTCTGGACATCACTAGAATGCTCTAGACGTCTTGTCGAGACATACAGTATAAGCAGGAGCTAGCGGCCTCGAGTCAATCGACCGTTTCTGCTCGGAGTGTGAAGCACAATGAGCCTAGTAAGACAACTGAAGGTAATTGTTGTGACCAATATAAAGTGAAAAGACTAAGGAACTGTACACTAGTAGTGTGCTGACTAGATATCGAAGTGAAAAGTCCAGCTGTGAAGCCATTACTTTGAATAGTGTTGTGAAGAATTAGTGACTGTTAAAGCCGACTACAGTGCACAGGTGTGTTTCTGTGACCTGGTGGAAATCTGCCTGCCTGTTGTTTGTCTGTACACTGATACTGATCATCGGGAAATTACCGGAGACTGGCGGGACAGCCAGTGTTTCGAAACCACAGTGGATAGCACTCAAAAGGCACGGCAAAGACCTTAAATGTAGCCCAAATATAATGACTCAGCCTGCTGTTTCACACGCCAATGTTTGCCGGATGAAAACCCCTCATAAAATAAATCTTTTTTTAATTTTTTTTTTTGCAAAATAGTAAATAATTTTTCTTCTCTATCATACACTTATGCACTAAATAGTCACTAAATAACGAAAATAAGAATGGAAACTTATCCCCACTTGAACAGACATGAAGTCTGACAGAATGACTGTCCATCAACTTCTGCGGCTCTGCCTTGTTCATGTCTAATGAGACAGGAACCCTCCACCCTCACTACTAGTGCCCCTACCCCTGGTACCCTCCACCCTCACTACTAGTGCCCTCCACCCCCCACCCCTGGTACCCTCCACACCCCCTACCCATGGTATCCTCCACTCTCACTACTACTGCCCTCCACCCCCACCCCTGGTACCTCCACCCTCACCTAGTGCCCCACCCCCCCCCTCGTGCCTCCACCCCCACCCCTGGTACCCACCACCCCACCCCTGGTACCTCCACCCTCACCACTAGTGCCCTCCACCCCCACCCCTGGTGCCTCCACCCCCACCCTGGTGCCTCCACCCCCACCCCTGGTGCCCTCCACCCCCACCCCTGGTACCTCCACCTCACTACTAGAGCCCCACCCTGGTATCATCCTCCTGTCACCCCTGGTGCCCTCCACCCCCATCCCTGGTGCCTTCCATCCCCACCCCTGGTGCCCTCCCCACTCACCTCTGGTGCCTCCACCCCCACCCCTGGTGCCCTCCACCCCCACCCCTGGTGCCCTCCACCCCCACCCTGGTGTCCTCCACCCCCACCCCTGGTGCCTCCACCCACTCACCTCTGGTGCCCTCCAACCCCCACCCTGGTGCCTCCACCCCACCCCTGGTGCCTCCCTCCACCACCTCTGGTGCCTCCACTGCCCCACCCCTGGTGCCTTCCACCCCCACCCCTGGTGCTCTCCACCCACTACCTCTGGTGCCCTCCACTCCCCCACCCCTGGTGCCTTCCACCCCCACCCCTGGTGCTCTCCACCCACTACCTCTGGTGCCCTCCACCCTCCACTCGCCAGCCACTGGTGCCCTCCACCCCGTTCACGTTTGTTTGTGAAGATGCGGGCATGGTTGTGTTAATTAACATTACTGTATATATCTTGCGAGGGAGGAATGTTTTAAAAGTTAACCAAGCTTACAAACGAAATTTCATTATTTCATTTATTTTCAAATTCCCATTTTCGTAAATTCACTATATGGTAACTTAGGAAATACTCATAATTTATTCACTTCCCAATGCAAATAGCCTCAGTCGCCTCGAAACCGTCATGGGGTGAGGTCAGTAAGTAGGAAGCCTTACACTGTTATACAAGGTACAAATATGATAATCCTAATATTTCATGGAGCCTGAATCATGGCATATATATCTACCTATACAGTAATTTTAAGTGAATATTCGGAACATGACTATAAAAAATTAACGCCTTTTCTTGGTTTTCAGCGATTATCAACACACCACTAAAGAAATATTGATGTGTAGTAATCACTGACAGGAAAGTGACAGCGGCAAGACAGTGATAATCAACGGAATAGTAGTGGTGATGACGTTTTTAAAGAATATAATCTATTTTTTGGTTGGCGGGACTGCGATCTCTCTGGTGATAGTGAGAGTCTTGGATGATCAGGTACAATGTCTACAGTGTCAGGGTCTACAAGAGTGTGGGTGGGTAGTGGAACATGAGTACCACTGACAGGGTTGGGGTTGACAGCACGTAGTCAAGAGATGTACTGGAGGAGATGGAAACATTAGTGAAAACCACACACAGTCAGTACAACAGTCACACACAGTATAACAGCTACACACAAAGTCAGTGTAAAGCACAGTCATACACAGTACAACACACAGTCAGATGAGGGGCAGGGCGACACTACAAAAAAGACCAACATTTATCTGTGTAAAGGCAAAGCTTACTGCAGCTGTTTAGTGTTTCATTACAATATTGTGTATAGTAGTAGGTTTAAGGAATATATAAAAAGTTGACTAATCTATATATCTATATAATCTAACTTATGAATCTAATTATATATAATCTATCAGATAAAATCAGCCGTGTCTTGGACCAGTAGCGGAGAATCAGCTGGCCAGATGATGAGAGAGAGGGCTGAACACCTGGTCCAGGAGTGTCGGCGACGTCAGGTGAAAGAGTTTGTACCCACCAGACCCGTCATGGTCAACAGATACACACTCTCCAGCCCGTTCCCGGTGTGTATACCTCCCAAGGTACGTGTGTGTATGTGTACACTAAAGTTTATATTTGTCTATGTAAACGAACTGTTTTTGTTAATAATATGATGCAATAAAATTATAGGTATACACTTATGAATTAAAGTTTTCTTACACTCTCCCCCTCTGACATTATGGAGACACATTGAGAAGGATTTAGACCAGACCATATATGAATAATTTACAGTAGACTTAACTTGTGTAGTGCGGGTCGACTGCCTGGGGGTTCTTCATGAGACAGCTACGTCATATTATCCCTGGGAGTCGAGAACACATGAAGACTTTGGTAGTGAGACATCCTTTTGTCCGTCTTGCTTCAGCCTACAGGTAAGTTGACATCATGACCACCTCCCCCACACACAACCATCTTGTTCTCTTCACTTTACCTCTTGACTTCATTATGAGTATGTTACTTTTATTATTTTATTTGGCTAATGCTAAACGATTTTAATCAGATTGGCTTAGAGAGGAACTCGTACACAAAGGATTATTAAACTATTTCTATTAAACAATACTTCACGAAAAACATACTAGCCATGGTACTTTGACCTTGACCTTAGCTAGCTAACTAACACACACTTCATGTTTTATTTTTAACTTTCTTTGCAGAGAAAAATACCTTAATGGTTCTCCACTGAACACTCGATCAAAAACAGGGGGCAGACAGCCCTCACAATATGTATGGGTGAACTACTGGATTCCAGCTCTCATACACAAAAGATTAATCACCCCTTCACCCAAATTCCTCAGAAGACTTGAGAAGACATCAAAAGCATTTAGGTTTGTGGCAAAGAAGGCGGGAGACACCTTGGACCGTTTTCGCGTTGATACATCATTAAACGTCGATTCCAGTCATATGACAATGAGGATTAAGTCTGTCAGGGAGAAGGTTAACCGTGGCCTACAAGAAGAGCTCGGTGCAGCTGTCCATGCTGGGTACTCTGAGGTCCAACGATCTAAACTGCAGGAGAGTTTTAACAATGCTTCCATATCATTGGTTGAGTTCTTAAGGTATGTGCTGTGGACTTGGGACATGGGCATAGAGGACCGCCACTGGACCCCAATCAATGAGTTGTGTGATGCATGCGGAGCTAATTACACCTACGTTTTGCATATGGAGAACCGTGAAGAGCCCAGCTATCTGTTTGGCCTCCTACAACTCCAGGTGACTTTGCCAGAGGTGTATAAATCTAGATCGTTGTCAACATACCAGTCTGATCTTCGTAACTTTGAAAATCTGCCCAGGGACTTGTTGGCCAGACTTGTCGACATGTACGAACTGGACTTCCAACTTTTTGGGTATGACAAACAACCATTTCTCGTGTAAGGGAAATCTGGAGTTAAAAGCGATTTTCAGGCAAAAATCTATAAAATTTCCAAAAAAAAATTACATTGAATTTAAGGGATATAGGAAAGGCTTCTTAAAATTACATAAACATTGCCTATTATAAGAGTCAACTTTCAGTTTAAATGTAAAGCCTGAAAAATTTAGCTGTGTTAATGATTTTAGTAGACAAGTTCATTCCAACGAGACAAGACGACAGTCCTGCCAGCCATAGATCTTACCCAGACCAAACCCTGACAGGACACTTATAATTAAGCACCTGACTGTCATAACTTGCCGTTGCCTTATGTAAATGCACACTTGACCACATTAAAACCTTAATGTTTCGACCCACCCTTATGAGAACTTTCAAGTGTGGAAATATCTTAACCACTCTGACCACTCCTAAATCTGCCAGAGATCTTTCTGTAGCTCATCACAGTCATTTGGTTCTTAATTTCCATAAATACCTTGGCATCTTCCACGAACAAAAGGTTATATATTTTGGGTCCCGATTAGCACAGTACTGTACATGTAAATTGTATAAATGTACCAGTCCATGTACTGTTAATATAAGTATACTACACCATTACAGATAGAGTACTGTTAATATAAATCACTAGAAAGGGTCTGCCAGAATAAAATAATAATAGTCTCGGTACAGTTAGCTGGTGATCAGCACTTGATGGACAGGTCAGATAGATGCCATATTAACTTGCATCTTGATTAAGTACTTACCTACAGTATACTGTATATATGTATCTGTCTACGGTCTACCTATCTATCAACATATACTGTATTATTCATCTGTATGTATATATATATTATCTACAGTACTGTATTTGCCACATTATTGTACTGCAGTTAGGGAAGTAAGGCTTTTTGAGTGATGTTTTATTGATTTGAAAAGTATTATATTGTTATTAATACTAAAATTGAAGTAATTTTTATGATATACTGTATCTGAGTATATCAGTAATGTTGGCAGCCATGTTTGGTTGGTTGTAATAAAAAATCCTTAACCTTGGGTCATTACAGTAACAAAACAGTGACAGTCATACAACCTTTTACAAAGATGTTGTTATTGGTGCAGATGATAGTGATGCTGGTACAAGATAAAGACACAATTTTACTATCCTGTGATGTCCGTGTTGATTGTTATTGCTGGGCTAATTGTTATTAATATTTGCGTGTTGAGTAATTGTGCATGAAAAAAGTATTAATGCATGAGCCAATGTTGTTACTTGGGTCAGCCTTGATTATGTAATGTCAATAAGGTAAACTTTATACTATAAATTTGTTTCTCCTTAAGTGTTATACCTGATAGATCCACCCACGCACCCTACCTAGCCCACCCAACAACCCGAACCCACCTGCGCATTTGTGAACAGCCCCTCACTTTAATCTAGTCCTCCATCTCACTGTCTTTCTCAATCCACATAAGACTTCGTGTGAATCTTTGCATCCCAACTTCCAATCGCAACGTCCACACCCTAGCCCTCAACCTCTGTATCCCACTGTCCACTCGCCCTCCACTTCCATCCACTCCCTCCACAATCCTGCTCTCAGCCTCCACACCTCACCCTGACCCTCCACACCCACCCTAGTCCTCCACATCCCACCCTCGCTAGACAAAGAATGAAAGATTATAGACAAACACTACAAGCAGTCAAATGCTTTCAACAAGTATTCACTTTTTTCAATCAAAGAAGAAACTAAGGAAACTATAAATTTCTATGGAAAATTCTGACAAAAGGGGACAATTTTTACCATAGAAAACGGAAAATATCTACTTTTTGGGAAGTAGTTTACATATTTTTTGAAAATTAGATTGTCATAGAAAATTTTTATCATAGCTAATGGGAAATATCCACTTTCTGGGAAAGTTGGTTATCTACTTATCATGGAAAACGGGAAATTTGTATCACAGAAAATGGGAAAGTTGGTTATCTACTTTCATAGAAAATGGGAAATATCTACTTTATGGGAAAGTTGGTTATCTACTTTCCCAAAAAGTAGATTATCTACTTTTCGGGAAAGTAGATTATCGATTTTTCGGGGAAATAGATTATCGACTTTTTTGGAAATATTACCTAATTATGCAAAGTAGATTATCATAGAAAACGGGAAATTTGTATCACAGAAAATAGGAAATACCTACTTTCTGGGTAAGTTGGTTATCTACTTATAGAAAACGGGAAGTTTGTATCATAGAAAATGGGAAATATCTACTTTCCCGAAAAATAGAAAATCTACTTTTCGGGAAAGTAGATTATCGATTTTTCGGGGAAGTAGATTATCGACTTTTTGGGAAATATTACCTAATTTTGCGAAGTAGATTATCATAGAAAACGGGAAACTTGTATCACAGAAAATGGGAAATATTTACTTTCTGGGAAAGTTGGTTATCTACTTATCACAGAAAACGGGAAATTTGTATCATAGAAAATGGGAAATATCTACTTTACGGGAAAGTTGGTTATCTACTTTCCCGAAAAGTAGATTTTTTTCTACTTTTCGGGAAAGTAGATTATCGACTTTTCTGGGAAGTAAATTATCGAATTTTGGGGAAATATTACCTAATTTTGCGAAGTAGATTATCATAGAAAACGGGAAATTTGTATCATAGAAAATGGGAAATATCTACTTTCCGGGAAAGTTGGTTATCTACTTTCCCGAAAAGTAGATTTTTTTTCTACTTTTCGGGAAAGTAGATTATCGACTTTTCTGGGAAGTAAATTATCGAATTTTGGGGAAATATTACCTAATTTTGCGAAGTAGATTATCATAGAAAACGGGAAATTTGTATCATAGAAAATGGGAAATATCTACTTTCCGGGAAAGTTGGTTATCTACTTTCCCGAGATAGATTTTTCTACTTTTCGGGAAAGTAGATTATCGACTTTTCTGGGAAGTAAATTATCGAATTTTGGGCAAATATTACCTAATTTTGCGAAGTAGATTATCATAGAAAACGGGAAATTTGTATCATAGAAAATGGGAAATATCTACTTTCCGGGAAAGTTGGTTATCTACTTTCCCGAAAAGTAGATTTTTCTACTTTTCGGGAAAGTAGATTATCGACTTTTCTGGGAAGTAATTATCGAATTTTGGGGGAAATATTACCTAATTTTGCGAAGTAGATTATCATAGAAAACGGGAAATTTGTATCATAGAAAATGGGAAATATCTACTTTCTGGGAAAGTTGGTTATCTACTTATCATAGAAAACGGGAAATTTGTATCATAGAAAATGGGAAATATCTACTTTACGGGAAAGTTGGTTATCTACTTTCCCGAAAAGTAGATTATCTACTTTTCGGGAAAGTAGATTATCGATTTTTCGGGGAAGTAGATTATCGATTTTTTGGGAAATATTAACTAATTTTGCGAAGTAGATTATCATAGAAAACGGGAAACTTGTATCACAGAAAATGGGAAATATCTACTTTCTGGGAAAGTTGGTTATCTACTTATCATAGAAAACGGGAAATTTGTATCATTGAAAATGGGAAATATCTACTTTACGGGAAAGTTGGTTATCTACTTTCCCGAAAAGTAGATTATCTACTTTTCGGGAAAGTAGATTATCGATTTTTCGGGGAAGTAGATTATCGACTTTTTTGGAAATATTACCTAATTATGCAAAGTAGATAATCATAGAAAACGGGAAGCTTGTATCATAGAAAATGGGAAATATCTACTTTCCGGGAAAGTTGGCTATCTACTTTCCCGAAAAGTAGAAAATCTATTTTTCGGGAAAGTAGATTATCGATTTTTCGGGGAAGTAGATTATCGACTTTTTGGGAAATAGTGTATTACCTAATTTTGCGAAGTAGATTATCATAGAAAACGGGAAATTTGTATCACAGAAAATGGGAAATATCTACTTTCTGGGAATTTGGTTATCTACTTATCAGAAAACGGGAAATTTGTATCATAGAAAATGGGAAATATCTACTTTACGGGAAAGTTGGTTATCTACTTTCCCGAAAAGTAGATTATCTACTTTTCGGAAAAGTAGATTATCGATTTTTCGGGGAAGTAGATTATCGACTTTTTTGGAAACATTACCTAATTATGCAAAGTAGATAATCATAGAAAACGGGAAGTTTGTATCATAGAAAATGGGAAATATCTATTTTCCGGGAAAGTTGGCTATCTACTTTCCCGAAAAGTAGAAAATCTACTTTTCGGGAAAGTAGATAACCAACTTTCCCGTAAAGTAGATTTTTCCCATTTTCTATGATACAAATTTCCCGTTTTCTATGATAAGTAGATAGCCAACTTTCCCGGAAAGTAGATATTTCCCATTTTCTATGATACAAACTTCCCGTTTTCTATGATTATCTACTTTGCATAATTAGGTAATATTTCCAAAAAAGTCGATAATCTACTTCCCCGAAAATTCGATAATCTACTTTCCCGAAAAGTAGATAATCTACTTTTCGGGAAAGTAGATAACCAACTTTCCCGTAAAGTAGATATTTTCCATTTTCTATGATACAAATTTCCCGTTTTCTATAAGTAGATAACCAACTTTCCCAGAAAGTAGATATTTCCCATTTTCTGTGATACAAGTTTCCCGTTTTCTATGATAATCTACTTCGCAAAATTAGGTAATATTTCCCAAAAAGTCGATAATCTACTTCCCCGAAAAATCGATAATCTACTTTCCCGAAAAGTAGATTTTCTACTTTTCGGGAAAGTAGATAGCCAACTTTCCCGGAAAGTAGATATTTCCCATTTTCTATGATACAAACTTCCCGTTTTCTATGATTATCTACTTTGCATAATTAGGTAATATTTCCAAAAAAGTCGATAATCTACTTCCCCGAAAAATCGATAATCTACTTTCCCGAAAAGTAGATAATCTACTTTTCGGGAAAGTAGATAACCAACTTTCCCGTAAAGTAGATATTTCCCATTTTCTATGATACAAATTTCCCGTTTTCTATGATAAGTAGATAACCAACTTTCCCAGAAAGTAAATATTTCCCATTTTCTATGATACAAATTTCCCGTTTTCTATGATTATCTACTTCGCAAAATTAGGTAATATTTGCCCAAAATTCGATAATTTACTTCCCAGAAAAGTCGATAATCTACTTTCCCGAAAAGTAGAAAAAAATCTACTTTTCGGGAAAGTAGATAACCAACTTTCCCGGATAGTAGATATTTCCCATTTTCTATGATACAAATTTCCCGTTTTCTATGATAATCTACTTCGCAAAATTAGGTAATATTTCCCCAAAATTCGATAATTTACTTCCCAGAAAAGTCGATAATCTACTTTCCCGAAAAGTAGAAAAAAATCTACTTTTCGGGAAAGTAGATAACCAACTTTCCCGGAAAGTAGATATTTCCCATTTTCTATGATACAAATTTCCCGTTTTCTATGATAATCTACTTCGCAAAATTAGGTAATATTTGCCCAAAATTCGATAATTTACTTCCCAGAAAAGTCGATAATCTACTTTCCCGAAAAGTAGAAAAAAAATCTACTTTTCGGGAAAGTAGATAACCAACTTTCCCGGAAAGTAGATATTTCCCATTTTCTATGATACAAATTTCCCGTTTTCTATGATAATCTACTTCGCAAAATTAGGTAATATTTCCCCAAAATTCGATAATTTACTTCCCAGAAAAGTCGATAATCTACTTTCCCGAAAAGTAGAAAAAAAATCTACTTTTCGGGAAAGTAGATAACCAACTTTCCCGGAAAGTAGATATTTCCCATTTTCTATGATACAAATTTCCCGTTTTCTATGATAATCTACTTCGCAAAATTAGGTAATATTTCCCAAAATTCGATAATTTACTTCCCAGAAAAGTCGATAATCTACTTTCCCGAAAAGTAGAAAAAAAATCTACTTTTCGGGAAAGTAGATAACCAACTTTCCCGGAAAGTAGATATTTCCCATTTTCTATGATACAAATTTCCCGTTTTCTATGATAATCTACTTCGCAAAATTAGGTAATATTTCCCCAAAATTCGATAATTTACTTCCCAGAAAAGTCGATAATCTACTTTCCCGAAAAGTAGAAAAAAAATCTACTTTTCGGGAAAGTAGATAACCAACTTTCCCGGAAAGTAGATATTTCCCATTTTCTATGATACAAATTTCCCGTTTTCTATGATAATCTACTTCGCAAAATTAGGTAATATTTCCCCAAAATTCGATAATTTACTTCCCAGAAAAGTCGATAATCTACTTTCCCGAAAAGTAGAAAAAAAATCTACTTTTCGGGAAAGTAGATAACCAACTTT